ACATACACACACATATAATAAAGTAAATATAGCAAATGTTAGTATCTGGCATACCTGGGTGAAGCGTATATAAGGGCTCTTTATACATTCTTGCAATCTTACTGTAAGTTTGAAATTATTTCAAAATAAAAAGTGGAGAGGGGAGTCCACATTGGCAGTTCGAATAGCGAGGCTGAGAACCAAAAGTTCTCACAAAACACTGTTTCACTCACCCACCCTAGTAGACCTCCCTGACTTTAGTCCTCACAGCAGATGACCATGTGCATTCTTCGTTACAAGTTCCCTTTTTTGCCTCGGCTGCCAGGAAGCTCAGAGCCAAGCTCCTTGCTTGCACGGAGGCCTCTCTGCTTCCTCTGTGGGCCTCCTGAGGGAGCATATTCTGCAGAGCACAGATCGAAAGTGGCCCCTGCCCTACTAAGGGTTAGGTGAGAGGATCCTCACCTCTCAAGGCCCAGCCCCACTGCTCCCTCCCTTCCTGGAAGCCCTGCCAGGATCCCCCACTCTATCAACTGGGGAGGACACTCTAGCTCTATATCTGAGGCCTCTCTGAGCCTCAGTATGTTCATCTAAAGAAGGAAGGAGGGCCACTGTCTGGCCCACCACCCCGGGGAAAGGAGATGGGGGCCTAGGTCACGGAGGGGTCTATAGCCTGGGGAATGTGGGCACACACACAGGAGTTTTCCTTACCACTCTTGTGGGGCCTCTACACCCCAGGAGATCGACTACCCAACTGAATGAAGGACAGGGCACCAAGATCCCACACAAGGCCCGGCCCCGCCCCCCAAACTGGCCCGGCAGATTCAAGGTGCCCAGCTGCAGATCTGGTTACAGGCCTTTTGTTGGGCTCAGAACACTGTACCTCTCTCACAAGCAGGGCCTCCAGGCTGTGTACAGCCAAGGCCTTGCCTCATGGGGCTCCTGGCCTGTGACCAATGGATCTAAAGGGAGGCCTGAGGGAGCTGGTCCCAGCATCCCAACCCCCACAGGCCACACAAGGGGCCCCTGGCCACCTGTACATTTAACCAGCACCTACCACGTCCCAGCCACCAAAGGTATTTCACCCACCATGGGTCTCATTTAAGGCCCACTGGCAGCCCTGGACTCTGGGGTCGGAGACCCGGGTTTGAGTCCCAGCTCAGGTTCAGGAGAGAATCTTCACCTCTCTAGCCTCCACCTTCCTCAAGTTCATGAGTATGGTCCCATCTAGGGCTGAGAAGCTGAGGCTGGAAAAGGCCATGCACAAACGTGGCCAATGTCCCCAAGCTGGCCCTGCTCCAAGAGCAGGCCAGGAATCCTCTGGGATAATCCTCACTGCAACCCCGGGCTGTGGGTCCTGCGATTATCACCAAGTTACAGATAAGGAGACTGAGGCCCAGAGAGGGTCAGTCACTTGCCCCAAGTCACACCAAAGTCAATCCTCAGAGGACCACACTCATGATAAGAGATGCTGTTGTCCCCATTTCTCAGAGGTTAACATGACTTGCCCATGCCATGCAACCCAGGCCTATCTAGCCCAAAGCAAGGCTCTTCCCAAATCACCTCCCAGGACAGATACCCTGTCTGTGCCCCAGTCATGGAGCCCATAGCCCACATCCACCTTGTCCACCACAGTCCAATATCCTGCCTCCCACAGTGAGGCCCCAACTGCCAAAATCAACAGGCTGCTCCCTCCCCACCCACACCCTCAAACACCCACCATGGCTCCCCACTGCCTCCACTCAAGGTCCCTACTATACAGTCACAAGCCTTTCTTGCCTTAGGCCTTTGCACACTCTCCCTTCTGCCCTGAATGCCCTATCTCTTTCCTCATCCAACCAGCAAACTCCTATTCATCTTACAGAGCCCAGCTCAAATGTCAGATCTTACCTGACTGGTCCCTCAAGCCCTCAGCAGACTTCTAGAGCTCCTGCCCTGC